ATGCACGGCTCTCATGGACTACTTAGATTCAATATATATTGCTTCCGCACTTGTAAGCCCCATATTTTATACTCTGATTATGTGTGATCCTTGTGAGTTGGCCTTCGGTAATCTTGGATTACTGGCCGTCACGGCACCATTCTACTAGGGGCGGTTTGGGGTCGTGACAGAGCTGCCCGGTTAGCTCGCGGGGGTCCAAGGGGCAGTGTCTCTTGGCGGGTCCGGGGCAACGCCACGGCGGGGTCGAGGAGCAGCGCCCCCGAAGCAAAATGCAAAAATGCATTCCAAGTTGCCTGTCCACTCGAACGGACATTCCCGCGCTCGAGCTGAGAATGCTGAGTTCCAAAAGTTTAATTCGCCTGCAAAAATACTGGATGTTGTTTTTTCCCGCTCGAACGGAACTTTCTGCGCTCGAGCGTAGGTCCGCTAGAGCGGCCAATCCGACGCTCGAGCGGAGATCGCGGGACAATTTTCTATAAATACGTGTTTCAGTCCAAATCTAGGATAATTTCTCCATATCTTCTTCTTGGGTTCTAGGGTTTATATTTGGGGATATTTTGCTAGTTTTCTTTGATGTTTTGATTGAGTATTCAACTCATGGTTTAAAGAGTATACATCAAAGGATTATTTGTTTGTTCTACACAAAAGAGAGAGTTGTTCTTCGGTGGATTCTGAAGAATTCGAGCCTGAAGCTTTGGTGGATTCCGAAGTGGCTCATCGTCAAGACAATTCCGAGGTGAAGACGGGGTTGGAAGAGGCACATAGGAGTTGGTTCAATTCGGGCGTGGATTCGCTAGGTAATTGAGAGTATACCTGTGTAATTCCTTTATATCTTCTTAATGGATTGTTTTGTGGCTGTTGCCCGTGGTTTTTTTATCACAATTGGAGGTGTCCAATTGTGGTTTTTCCACATAAAATCGTTGTGTCGATTTGTCTTGATTGTTTGATTGGAATTATTATATACTACTTAAAATTGATACATAATCACAAATCAACATTTAAGGAATTTCTAGATTTTTCGAGATTGCTTTCTGTTGTGTCCGGTTTGTGTGATTGGATTTCTGTTTGATTTCAGAAGTGCTTTGCTTTTAGAGGGTTGTTTCAGGTTTGGGCAGTTTGTTTTGGGAGACTTTGGTAGTAAATAAATCTTATTTATCTATCTAATCTCTCTCTCTCTCTCTCTCTCTCTCTCTCTCTCTCTCTTATATGTTCATAGAATGTACTATCTAGCATATTTCATGCTTCTACTTTTACTTTTTGTTGATTTTATTTTTTTTTTCAAAGCGATAAAATTTCGTCTGAAACAACAGGAACTATCCACATTATGACATTATGGTTTATAGCAGATAACTTTAAAAAAATTCTTACAAATTTTAAATGAATGTTTGATATGATGAATTTTATCTGGAATTAATTTAGAAAATGGATTTTTTTAAGTAATATTTTAGATTTTGACTAAAATATAAGGTAAAGAAAAATTAAAGTTTTTTTATTTTTATTTTTAAAATTTTATGAAAGCGGTGAAGAGAATTGGAATAGAATTTAATTTTTTACTCTTTCAACTTTTTTAATAATTTTTTAATTTTTGAACTATTTTAATCTGTTGCCAAATCATGCCTTAGTATGCTATCTCATGAATTTTATATAAGTGCACTTTTTGAAGTGATCTAAATAAGTATATTTTTTGATTTTTTATAAAATATAAGTTTAGTATGAGTTGAGTTTAAAGTGATGTGATATAGAGGTGATATGACTTAAATAAGATGATATGACTTAAATAAAATAATAATTTTTTAATTTTTTTAAGTTATGACAAATAAGGTCACACTATCTATGAGATGTAAAAGTATTTTCTAGTGGATGATATTTCATGCATCTCATCTGATTTGATTTGTTTTTGTCCTAGGTGCCTGTATTGTCATGTAAAATTGTGTGAGATAATGACTAGAATAAAATTGTGTGGCGAAATTATTATGAATATTTTTAACATTTTACCTTTTTTTTATAATTTGATTTTAAATTTAAATAAAAAAATTTTGAGTTTCACACCCTCGCCCCTTACCTTCTTTGTTTCATAGGGATCGTTTAAAATGTCTTAAATAAGTATATTTTTTGTCTTTTTAAATTAAAAAGTTAAAGGAAAAAAATAGATGTTTGGGTTAATTTTTTAACTTTTTACGAAAAAATATATATTAAAAAATTGTATAAATAAGTGTGTAGGAGAAATTAGCGATGTAGGCCATACAGGTTGGGTAGTGTAGTCTGGTTAGGAGATGAGAAATGATTGCCTCTTTTTCGGACATTAATTGGACGGTGTTGTTCAGCCCGTGGGGGCCCACCATGGGTCCCGTTTTGCTAATCAGAACCATTCAATGTGTAGAACTCATCGAGTACTATATGTTTGTAAAAAATCACGTTAATTGGATATCGATAGCTATCTGATCATGTTAGTTTTTTTTTTAACTGTTAATTATAACATTATCCATTTTTATACAAAACTAATTTGATCATATAGTTAGCGATATCCGATGATTTTTTCCAGACATATAGTATTGGATGAGTTCTACATATTGAATGGTTCGGATTATCAAAATGGGACCCGTGGTGGGCCCCCACGGGCAAAACATTTCCATCCAACTTAGTGAATATATATATATATGTAATTTTTTTTTTGATTCCTTTCACTGCCTTTCCTTTCAGGTGAGTACCTAGAGTGGTGTGAAGTTGGTTTGTATTTTAATATTATATATATATTAATTTTTTTATATTTTTTTTGGTGAATAGTGATAACTTTTTAACTTTTTTGATAACATTTTGACTTTTTAAATTTTTTTAAAGATCCCAAACTAAGCCTTAAATAAGGCAATTTGAAAATCAAAATTTTGTCTCATTCCCTGTATCAGAAAAAGGAGACTTGGTTATGAAATGGTAGTAATAGGAATGTAAGAAAAATCGGAAAAATCGAAAAAAAGGGAGCAAATCGATTGAACCGGATCAAACCAGTTATATTTGGTCTATTTTTTAACAAGAATCAATCTGTGTGGTTTTTAAATTTGAATTTTTTCGATTTTCGGTTCGGTATCAGTTTAAGCACCTTGTGCACCGATCAAAACCAAAACCAACCACTTCAACATATATTGTATATATATTATATATATATAATCTAATAATATAATGATATTAATAAATATAATAAATTATTAACATTAGTTAATTAACCTTATCATCTTTATAACCTAAATTTGTAAACTATTATTATATATAATCTTAACTCTAACTCATTATTCTTGAAACCTTAGTATTTTTAAACTTTTTTTGTTTTTATTTTTGATGATTTAGGAATTGAAAAGTATGCATTAAATGGATGGATTGGATATGTTTAAAATGGTAGACAAATAACCAATTTAATATTTTTATATAGATTAATGATTATATTTAAAAGTGGCTCAAGTTTAAAAAATCCTAAACCGATTAAACCGCACTAAACCGAACCATTTCAATCGGTTCAGTTTAGTGCAGTTTGATGGGAAAAGCGGTCTGTACCGGTATTCAAAATAATAAAACCCACATTATCGATTCGGTGTAATTTTTTACTTAAATACCAACCGTACCGAACTGATTACATCCTTAGGTAGTAAGACAAGCTATATGTATCTAACCAGATTTGGGATTTTAAGCGATAGGTCAAGTTTAACCTTTTTATCAAATTTTTTATTTTATTTTTTTTACTTTCCTTCTTATACTAAATTTTTATTTTCATTAAATTTGATGGAAAAAAAAAATCATCTCCAATATTTATTTTTTAAAATTTTTATCAAATTCAAATTTGATGTATTTATCAATTTGATGAAAGACCAAAGATGGTTTTTGAGCACTTCTAAATTTGATGAAAAAAATAGATGAAGGATTGGAAATGCTTTAATGCATTAATATTATGTTGAAAATGTAAGATTAATTACATTTGCTTGTACACTTAGCACATGTTTAATTAGCAAAATTAATAATGAGGAGAGTAATAATTTATAGAGTTAGTGTAAGATTGGTTTTTCAACTGAATTAATAAAATAAATATTTTCTCTTGTTTACTTTGTTTTGCAATAGATATGAAAATATATAATTCAAATTATATACTTGTATTACATTATTAGTTGCATGATGAGAAAATTTCGTCAATTTAGTTGGATAGAATGTTTATCGGGATCTAATCCTAAAAATAAAAATTACAACCAATACAATTGATTGTGAATCTCATATTAATTAGTTGGTATTGAGTTTATAAAAATACATAAAAGTTTTCATTACATAATTTTTTTTTTTATTTTTTTTTTTGATAAAGTGAGAGCAAAATAATCTTTCTATAGTTTTTCTACCTCCCATGTAGAAATCCCATCCTTTGGGATGATGTTATCTTTCACAATTAAACACGAATTACTAATCAAACATGGCCATAGTAGTTCTATTACACTAACCAAATTCATGTTTCTAAGCTTTGTCAAGCATTGAGGGCCACTAGTTATATACAAGAAATTACAATTCAATGGGATGTTTTCAAAATAATTATAAATTAGTGCAATACTTTATCAACTTTAATAATTAAAGTTCTAAACTTTTTTGTGAATTTACAATTATTTTCAAGAGATCCGCTGATTTACAATTTTCCCAATATTAAGTCATCCCAAGCAACTGTCTTGGGCCCCCAATTTTGGAACAAAATAACACTACTAGAAATATCATTTTCTGCGTCTATTTTTTTGTGTCCGTTTGTTTTGCGGTGGCAAAAAATCACTTTTCACATCAAAATCTCTTTTTAATTGGACTCGATCGTGTTCTTAAAAATAAAAAATAAAAAAACCCCCAAATCATGAAAAACTTGACCCGTCCCCCCTTTTTTTTTCCTTATTTCCCAAATCTGAACTCTCTCTCTCTCTCAAAACATGTCTCTCGCTCGACTCTCTCGCTCGAATCTGACTGTCTCTGTCGCTCGACTCTCACTTTGATAAAGATTTGAAGATTTTGATCGATTGTTGATAAAGATTTGAAGATTTCAATCTGCTGTTGATGAAGATTTCGATCGATTCAGAATTGAGATTCATAATCGGTAAGCCTAAACACTTCTCTTTGTCTCTCTCTGTAATGTTTGACATATCTTCATCGATTCATCTTCATCGCTCGAATCTTACTCTCTGTAATGTTTGACACATCTTCATTGATTAATTTGTAATGTGTAAATTGAAACATTAATCGATTCAACTATTTGTCTCTCTCTGCTCTTCGTACTCTCTCTATCTCTCTCTCTCTCTCTCTCTCTCTATACATATATCCATGTAATGTATCACCGATGTGTTGTTCAATTACAACAATGTGTAAATTACAACAGTATCACCATCTCACAACGGTGTAAATTACATCTCACAACACATGTATCACTGTAATCGATTAAATGAGGCATTTTTTGGTTCAACAAATATTTTAGCTCGTAACAAATCCACTTGCTCATAATCTCTCTCTCTCTCCGGTTTTGTTTGTATGTTTTTATATGTATCTAATTTTATTTTATTTTTGTCTGTACACGCACGCACACACATATATATACAAACGCATATAAGTAAGATCTAAAGTGCTGTATAGGTTTGATTTTTGTAATTTTTGGAACAATTTTGCAATGTGCTCCTTGGAAATTTTGGTCTGCTTTTTTTTTTAATTTATAATTTTTAAGGATTTCTGATTGAATTGAATCCATATTTAGAACAAAGTTCATTGTTGCTGGGTAGAAATGCTTTACTGTTTGATAAACTGCATAGGAATTCATATTATGGAAACTCTGAGGAAGCCATTACTAACAACCAGTCCTGTCAACAATGTTGCAGACTATGCTACATAAGCTCATCTAAATTTATTTTATTTTATACACTGACAGAATATGAATAATAAATTTATTCAATTCTACTGCCACCATGTAAGGGCAATAAACCAAGAAAAAAAATACCAATGAAACCACCTGCAACTGTTAGGAAGTGTTTTTAAACATAAAAGCTTGTTTTGAAAATTGTTTTTGAAAGAAACATCATGATGTTTGCAAATAAAAAATTACACATTATGCTGATATTGGGGCGATGATGTATGTTAACAATTTTTTGGAGATGATTTTTGGCAATGGAGCTTGATAAGGCTTGGCAGTGACTCATTAAGTCAGGAAGTCCTATAGATGTTGTCTCTTCTCTAAGAAGGTAAATGCAATTTTTCCTTGTCAAAAAATCCAAGTAAAATTTGATTCATATGAGCATTCACCCCAGAATCTAATAACCTTACAAATGAAATCAAATTTTAAAAAGTATACAACTCTTAAAATGCCAAAACACTATCTTAGTGACTATCTTCTTCTTCTTTATTTATTTATGAAAAATCTAGAAATCCCCTAGATGTTGATTTGTGATTATGTATCAATTTTAAGCAGAATTTAACAATCCCAATCAAACAATCAAACAATCAAGACAAAGAGACACAGCGTTTTAACGTGGAAAAAACCACAATTGGACACCTCCAACTGTGATAAAAAAACCACGGGCTACAGCCACAAGAACAATCCACTAAGAAGAATTAAAGGAATTACACAGGTATACTCTCAATTACCTAGCGAATCCACAACGCCTAATTGAACCAACCTCTATGTGCCTCTTCCAACCCCATCTTCACCACGGAATTGTCTTTCTGATGAGCCACTCCGGATTCCACCAAAGCTTCAGGCACGAATTCTTCAGAATCCACAACTGAAGAACAACACTCTCTTTTGTAGAACAAAACACAACCTTTGATGTACTCTCTTTAGAACATGAGTTGAACTGGAAATCTGGATCGCGCGGTCCGCTCGAGCGCCCTTTTCCCCGCTCGAGCGGAGACTTCAAATTCTGTGATTTCATACAGGCTCTACGCTCGAGCGTCAGTTTTGCCGCTCGAGCGGCAAATCACACCATCCAGTACTTTTTCAGGCGACTGCAGAGATGCTGAGAGCTTCCAATCCCCGCTCGAGCGTCCCTTTCCCCGCTCGAGCGGGAAGGCCAAAACTAGAAAAACTAGAAAAAAATAACATGATCAGACAGGCAATTTGGAATGCATTTTTGCATTTTGCTTCGGGGGCGCTGCCCCTCGACCCCGCCGTGGCGCTGCCCCGGACCCGCCAAGGGGCGCTGCCCCCTGGACCCCCGCGAGCTGACCGGGCAGCTCGATCCCCGTCATAATCAACGAAGTGGCAATCTTGAAAGCTTTATCATCACAAACTTCTCTGAAATGCTTGATTCGGGTTGGATTCGCATCTAACAACTCATAGCCTCACTGAAATAAAAATGCGAAATAAAATTACAACTCAAAGGAGTTTTGTCAAACGGGATTGCCAAGAAATAAAACCTAACAATTTATTTAATTTTTAAATTTCCCCAGCTATGAGGATTCAAGAAGACTACGGATTGCTGTTATCCATGGACTGGCACGAATGGCTGCGATCATGGCCTCAACTTACAAGGCATATTTGGGTGTCGGCCTTGGCCCATTATCGGTAGGAGTGTGATAAGCACATGCTGCTATCTAATTAAAATAAACTCGAGCTTTCCGTGGAGTTCTGCATGCATTTCATTACAGCTTATATTATGTTTTACAGTTTTTGACAAAGTTTAGGATACCACATCCAGGAAGAGTTGGAGGGAGCTTTTTTATCGACCTTGCAATGCCTTTAATGTTGAGTTGGGTCCTCGGCGATAATGGGTCATTTGGTGCGTTTCACCTATCTTATAGTCATAGGTTATGCTAAATGAGTTTAGTTGCTTGATTAAAATAATAGAATAATTAAATGATTTTTTTTCTTCTCCAACATGGTTTTGCAGGTAATGATCAGGAATCTTGGTAATTTCCTTTGATGCAAGTTCAGGGGATTCACATCTTTTTTGTCTACAAAATCATGTGAGTTTTTGAAGTGCCATCATTGTGAAATAAAATTACTTTTTTATATAATTCAGTCCCTCAAATGTCTATTATAGTTAGATTGTTGTTTTCTTAAGGAATATTAAAATGTCTATGGCCAATCACTATGTGCACCACAAAACACCTATTTTGAATATGATGAGCGTAAAGCATTTGGTGCTGGATTTCTTATGAAGGCAACCCTATTGCTTCTCAAATAAAATCCTCCACACTAACATATAATGTAATGATACTGTTTCCATTTTTTTATAAAGTAAACTTTGTACTGGAAGATTACTAATATGCTCTCATTTTTATTGGGAACTTAAAGATAAAAAAATAAAATAAAAAAATCATATACATGAAACATTACCCCAACATTTTATTCCAATATATACAAGGAAAATTCTTTTGGACTCCTAAAACATTACCCCAAGATTCATTAGCATCTTTTCCTCTATTTAGAAGGCTGAATTTCATCATTTCTCTTAACCTATTTCGCTACAATTTTGTTGATCAATCTGATATGCCAAGGGATTTGTTTACTGATTTCTAGCTGATTATTTAAAGTATATCAATGTAGACAGTGGTAACCCTTTCCACTTATGTTTACTCTATTAATAAATTCCACCCAGGATTGGTACCTTTAGGTATTTCTGATGCAGAGTGTTCTTCTTTGTTAGTTCATTTGTGTTGAATTAACTCTCTACCTTCTGATACATGTCTTCACCTTGCTGATTTCGTATCACGCCTTTTTTTTTTTTAAGGAAAATAGCACTTCTTCATAGTTCTTTTTACTCCAATTTAAGTTCATGAATCTTTTGGTTTACTTGGTTGCAGTAGTATCAGTATGTATGATTTCATATGCATGACATATTTGGTTGTTTGCTAGCTGAGAATCTCTATTTATTTATTTATTTATAAATATCATTGATATTTTTTTAACTCGTTTTCAAATTTTGATGATGTGAGTATGTGTTCCTTTTCTCGTGATTAAATTGGTTCTATTATGCTCTATTAGCTTTTTCATGCTCTGTTAGCTTTTTCTTTCTCATCTGGACGAACTTGATTACTTACTACTGTTCGTTGCTTGTCAAAGCTGGATGATTATTACAGTTCTATATGTTCATTCATCTTAAAAAGCAAGAGATAATGCTCCGAGAATTACAAATTGAGAAAATTATTGTACTCAGTCATGAAAAAACTCTATATTTATTGTTGTTGTGTCAATATTTGATTAATGATGGTGTACTTATAGGGTTGGGATCTTGCCTCTATGACCTCTTATGTGCAGACCCCTCCACAAATTGGTATTGCCAACAGAGGGATGGTCAGATGCCTTATTTTGGTAATTCAGCTTTAATGTTCGTCTTTCTTGTTCTAATGTTATTTTTTAATATTTTGTTGTTTCATCAATATTTTTGTCATGCATATATTTTACTTTCCATACCCCTGACCAATTTGAAGTGTGTTTGCTTCATCTCAACTAGACAATACTATGGATACACTATCAAGAATATAATAGGGAGAATTTCGGGAAATCCAATAACATTAAACAATTTGATCTATTTGTATTAGTGTATTGTCCCAAAATTAGTTATTTTATTGCCACATTATATAGTATAATTTTCTTTATATTTTGGAATTAAAATTATGGTTCAAAAGTCTTGTGTATCCTCATAATAGTACCTCGATCCCATCATAATTTATTCATAAACAAAAGATTTAAACACATTCCCAAAATTCATTAAACATGTTGAAAATCTCACCATGGGGATGCTTGTAGTGGTTGTCTGTCTTGGTGCTGGAGGGAGGATGAGGTGTTTGGTGGAGGACTAATTGCTTACAATAATATTTTCCTTTTTTTGACAGATTTAAGTTATTTTATACTCACATGAGTTACTGTTCTTGTCAACTTTTGTGTTATCTGTTTTCTTCTGCTTTACTACCTATATCATTGTGAATTCATAACTATTCCCTCCATTGAGTGATTTTTCAAACTCATAATATCTGTCATATGGTTTTGATTCTCAACAAAAGCATACACGTTTTCTCTCATAGTAATTCACTCATCTGCTATAATGACTGTGCTAGTCTTATTGTTCTCTGAATTGTATTATATTGTATGGCTTCTAGTAGAAATTTTCACTTCTATAGTTTGTTTAACGATATGTGTATCTTGCATAATCCATGTCTTATCAATCAGACCCACAAGAGAGGCTGAACAATCTGTTGCGTCATTCAGGCAATGGGTTTTGTGCAAATTGTGGATCTCCTAATCCAAAATGGGTGTAAGTATTATGTCTAATATTTTTTGCTTTTCTTTACGCTTGATCCATCAACCAATATATTTCAATATCAAATGTGCCCTTTTTAAAAAGAAAAAGAAAAAAAAAATTCAAGTTTTGTCTTTCTTATGTTGGTGTTTTCCAAATCATAGTATCTGTTGTAAGTTAATAACACCCATATGATCTGAAGTTGCTTTCAAGGTAATTGAAACTCTTGTTGCAAATCACTGATCTACCATAGAGAGAGGTCACTGACATAGTTTTATTTTGATTATTTCAAGCTAAACACACACATTGAACCTGCCATAGGGAGAGGTTGCTGACATGGTTTTATTTTGATTATTTCAAGCTAAACTAACACATCGAAGTGCATTAAATTTTCAAGTCAAGTTTGATATATGTTTTTGTAGATTTTGTTGAGGGAATAGTTGATATGATCAAGCGGTTGATGTTGGGAGCCAAGTATTATGTTGCTCTTTTTTTCTTTTTCTTTTTTGAAGACTTGAATTTTTTAGTACAGTGTATTTAAGGATGGTAAATGGATATTATAAATTTAATTAATTTGTTAATTTTGTTATTTTTCATTTACAAAAAATTATTTGGTGGTTATAATTGATTTTTTTGTTGTAGCAAACTCATATATGATTTTTTTTAATAAATAATTATTTGCGACAGTAAAACAATGGTCGCTAAAAGTACTTTTAATTTTTTAATTTTTTTTGCGACGGCAAAATAGCTGTCGTAAAAAGTAGTTTAGGCTGTCGCAAATTATTTGCGACCGTTGTTTTGCGGTCTCAAAAAGTATTTGCCACCCCCACATTTGCGTCCCCCATGTGCGGTCGCATAGGCCGTCGCAAAAAGTCTTTTGTGACTGTATTTTTATTATTTGCGACGGCATGTGGCGGTCGCAAAAAAGTGTTTTTTTTAGTAGTGATAAAGCCCCAAAAATGAGGTAAACCTTCTCTTTTTAAAGGAGGCTCAATCTTGTTCACCAAAAAAAAAAAAAAACAATTTATCTTCTTATGCTATAAAATTAAATAGACAAACAATTTGAAACGGAAGTAGTAGTTGTCAATAGACCATTTACCAAGTGGACACGAAACATTAGAAGTCAAACAATTTTATTAAATCGGACAGAGAATATGAAGAGAAATGTATATATCACTAAGAACAAATGCTTATTTTCCAACTCTCAAAATAAAATGTCAATGCTTATTGTCCAACTCTCAAAATAACAAAGGTTTATTTTCCAATGCTTATTTTCCAACTCTCAAAATAAAATGATTGTGGTCTTGAGTTGCACAATCATGCCAATCACAGCAGTAGCCTTGAGAAGGCTCAAATGTTTAACGGGTCAACACAAGCCACAAATATTGAAAAAGCAATACAGTATAATTCTCCGATCACAAATAAGAAGGGCAAAATATACCAACGATAGTTTCTTTGTGGCGGGAAAAAGGAGGAGATATCACCCATTTTTTATATTTTTGTTTTTTTGTTTTTTTTCTTTCAATTATACTTCTCACAATATTTGTTGAGAGGCTAATATTCGTCATATATATATATGTAGTAAACACGTATATTTTTTCAAGACAACTTTAATCCAAATCCATATGTTAATTCCTATGATTTTGAGCTTTAATTGACTAAAACTTCTCAAGCAGATTTCTTTGAAAATAATAATAATAATAATAATAATAATAATGACAACTGACATGTCATTATTCATTCATTGTCACTCATTATTAAAACTTTTTTTTTCTCCTTTGTATTTCTATCATTTCTATTCTCAATCTCTCTTAATCTTCCATTTATTCTTCATTATGTGATCATATCTTGTCACATCTCTCTCATTAACTTTCTCTATCATATATATACATTGTCACATGTTCATTTTGTAGCTAATATATATTTCTTAAATTTTTATTATTTGCATGCAATTCTTTGTGTTTGAGAAATTGTTAAATAAAAATATTTTTTATGAGTGAAAAAAGTTGAAATGATATTTGTTTTTTTTTAACTAAAAAAAATGTGATTTTTTTTTATTATTTTTTATAACAAAAACTAACTTTTTTAGGTTGTTTCCAGATGGTTACCAATTCTTTTGTTTTAATCGCGTATTGTCTGCTAATATAAGAAATGAGCTAATTTTATATAAATGACCTCAAAATTGTTAAGTTTTTAGTTCCTTTTGGTGCCATTACTATTTTGGTTTTGATTGATAACTATATTGTTATTATTTGGACTAATTTTATATTGATAGTAATTTTATTTAACACTAAATTAGAAAATCTGGCAATAAGCACTCAATAAATGATCAAGCATTACAAATAATTGAAATAGAGAATAGTGTGGTGATTTATTTAAATACTCTCAACCCAGTCCCCTCACAAATAACTAAAATAGAGAACAGTGTGGTGATTTATCGGAATACTCTCAAGTTCTCAACCCAGTCCCCTCGTGTACCAATTGGTTGACAATTCGATCCAGGTGATGCTGTAGGGATGAAGATG